AGTGAGGGATCAGCGTAAATGAAATCATCCATCCATCCATCCATACCGTATGTTGTTAGATGGATGCTAAAAGGATTCATAGTTTGAGGGTCCATGGTTTTAAGCTAGTGGTATTGCCCTAATGTCCCCAAAGATGAACAAAATACTCGAAAATACAGAGTCAAGTGGCAGAAATAATGCAAGTCACGGGGTCTACAAATTTTGCTTACTAAAAAGGCCCATGGGTGATGAAGTAGTCTAAGCGTACCTACAGTAGCAGGCCCTCCTGTCAGTCCGGTGGTTGGACGTTAACCAGGTTGCCTCGAGCAGCAGGGACCCCTTGCTCGTTCGGTGGTTGGATTTGACCAGGATACCTACAGTAGCAGGGACTCCCTGTGAGTTTGTCGGATTCAGTAGCAACGTCAATATAGATCCAGGTCTTCATTCTGTTCCGTGGTCTGGTTCCGGAGGGTAGCAGCTCATATTTCATTGAGCCTACAGGAGCCAGTTGAATATGCCCCGTTGGCGCTGTTAGTGTGACCAACATATCCGTTGGATATGCACCAGCTAATTAGCCAATATCAGTTCAAGGCTGCGAACAAAATCACATCGAACAAGGTCTCCGTGTGAGTTACGTGGTTGGGCTTGACCAGGGTGCCACCAGCAGCAGGGCCCCTTATCAGTTCGGTGGTTGGACCTTGCCCGGGGTACCTGTAGCAGCATGGATGTTGAGTCAAAGCCTGCGAACATAATTACATCGAGCGGGTCCTCCTGTTTGTCCAGCGGTCGGGTTTTGATTCTGTGATCTAACATGTAGTAATAGAGATATAAAGGATTTGAACCGAGAATAACATGAACCACGGTTCATTGTTCGTCCAGCGATCGAGCCCAATCTCTGGTTGAGTCTGTAGCAGCAGGAATTCTAACTCGAACGGTTTGAATAATGCCACCGGGGGAGATTGGGGGTTCAGTGGGGTTCACCAGGCACCCTTGTGCCTTTCAGCCAATCCCTTTTGTCAACGCCAAACAATACAGGGCCAGTTGGTGCGTACACCAGAAACATCGCTGAAGACTTAGACCGGGAATCCGGTCCCTCCAAGGACACTGACCCAAATGGCCGTCTGTGCGCCCCGTTCCCAACCGGATCCGGTCAGCTCCCGCGCCGTAGAGCATTGTCGGCGTTGTGGTCGGCGAAAGGACATGATGTTCTTCGTAAATTACAGTAGTATTAGTAGTAGATTTCATTTATACGTACAGGATGGACCGAAATCAGTTTTCTTCCTCGAACCCTATCTAGAAACATGCTAGTCCATTTCCAGATTAGTTCGTATTTAAAGGACGGAATTGCATTGAAATATACGATCACGTGAGAATACAGTAACCGAAATGAAAGAACATTGTAATTTATACAAGCAGCTTATCACCCTCAGGGAAAATCTTTCTTTCATCATCAACGTCCCTACTTTTGGTACACTATTGTTCGAAACCAGTTTCACCACTTTAAATGACAGCATAATAGCGCATTTTCTTATTGGGTTTATGAGACATCTACCCCAAACCTCAATAGCCTTACAATAGGCGGCTTCAGTGATGCAAGGTAATTACTGTAACAAGTTAGTTAACAACATATTGTGGATCTATAGTACTGAATAACAGGTATGATTGACCGCCTTCCCAAGTCTGTGTGCTTAAGGGGTAAACAGTTTTCGAATTCTACTGTACCCGATTGCACGGCTTACAAAGTACTTTTGGCATAGAAAAGGCTATGAGCAGGAATTTTCTATGTTTAGTCTCAAAAATCCAAGGTCAGCCTGAGTGTATAAGTGTAAATGGCAAGGCAGAAATGTATTACTGATCAGATCGGCCGTGTTGAAACAAATCTCTTGCGGCAAAGCAATGTCCTGTGCAATTAGCGCAGATTGCTGTATCCCACGCAGCACTTTAGATTTTTGGGGGTTTAGATTTATCGATCGGATATAGAGAGAATGCTGGTTCCTTGATAGAATCGGACTTGTAGGATACACAACCGGTCGATGGGAGTCTTTCTTGAGCTCTCTAATACGCACATGCTCACAGCATGGCGAGATGGGCTCAGGCTCCATTGCGCGCTTAGTTCCATACATTAACGTGAGCTAAAGGATTAGATTACTTGGACTTCCAATCCATTATATATAGGTTCCAGTAATCTAAATGAAAAACGTCAAGGTATGTTAGGTCCTCAAATATGGGTTCAAAGCACTGAACGAACAGAAGCCCATCAGTCAGAAAAATCGATAGTGCGCAGATATTTTGTAAAAGAGCTTTCTAATTGGATATGTTGGTTGTCCTAGGTTTAGGAGAGATGGGGTTCAGAGCTGCTGAGCCTCGAGGACTGTTCAGACGGGGTTCAGTCGGTGGCCTTCTCCCCCAACGGTGCGCTGCTGGCATCCGGCTCCCGTAATCGAACCGTGCACCTCTGGGACACGGCGACAAGCGCGCTACAGCAGACGCTGAAAGGCCACTCAGACGACGTTAGTTCGGTTGCTTTCTCACCCGACGGTACGCTGCTAGCATCCGGCTCCAATGACCAAACCGTATGCCTCTGGGACACGACGACAGGCGTGCTGCAGCATACCCTTATGGACCATTCAGACATCGTTTGGTCGGTGGCATTCTCGCCCGACGGCGTGCTGCTGGCGTCTATACTAATCAACACCAGCTTGTTGTTCCCAGATTTTTACGCGTTGTATCATCAGCGATGAACTTTACATTAATTGTCTTTCTAAACCTGGAATAGAGATTCAGTATTCTGATTTTGCCAATGCGGCATGGACAGAGACAAGACATACCGGCCTCGAGCGTAGCAGATATCTGTTCACAGACATTATCGGTGGCGTAGTCCTCCGGCCCAAGGACAAAACGGTCGCTAGTTACATTTACCGTGCGAAATAATTGGGGGAAACACATAGCTTTGTTTAAACTAGGGTGGAATTCGTGTGATCCTATCAGTATAATGAGTGGTCTTCTTCTGGAGCAACGATTCGCCGTTTTGATTTTGACCCTCGGATAGTGTTCAGCTGCTATGCGCCGAGAAGACTACGTGATAGAGCCCCTGCATCTCAGGCAACGAATATCGACTCCTGAATAATTGATTCAGCTCTTTAATATTTTGAAATGCATTATAAGTAGTTTTATTAGCTTGCAGTAATTAGTGTGTGATATCTCTGTTCTTTGGCAATGCCAAGACCAAGTAACAAAGCGCGCTCTGAGGAGAGGAATCTATGCCGAAAAACTTTGATTGAGCACATTTGTTAGTGGAAAGACTTGTCTATTACACGTACTCAAGAGTTGCTTTGCTTACTAGTTTACAGGGAAAAGAACAGGGGTTAAAGTCGCAAAAGTTCACCTTCGGCTCACACCTAAGCGTCAAGACAAATATTACTGGAAAGTCTTAGACCCGTCAAATGAGGAATTGCTCAAACTGTTCCAGACTGGCCCAAACCAAGTTCCATTGAGCGGGCTTCCAAAGTCGGTTCATGAAGAGCTCCAATCCTATGTTGGGAAAACATTTGAAGCAGTTGCAAACAGATCGGGATTTGGGATACTGGAAGAAACAGAAGCTTTCGTGTTTCAGGCAAGACTGACAGTTCAGGCGAATGTAAGCCAATGCTGATTTTGATAGGACGATGGTACCACGCCACCTGAGCGCAATTGGAGTGCCAGAATTGCTCTATTGGAGGATCAGGTGAAGGCGGCAGATACAGAAAACAAAGGTCTACGGGAGAGTTTGCGAATAGTGAAAGACGAAAGGAGTAGCATGGAGGAGATTATAAGACAGGAACAAATTTTCAGGGCAAAGGAACGAGATTTGTTTTTGAAAGCCCTTGAAGACAGCAAGTCAAAGGCGGAGGAACTTGAGAACTTGGCCTCAAGGCTTTTGATGGGTATTTCGGATATACATGGCTCAATAAATAATATTTAACTGGATCCAAAATATGCCCCTGATAATATAGAATGTGAAAGCAAGTTGTGATTAAAGATGAACACAATTTTGGCATTCTCTTTCCCGTGAAATAGTACAGATATGTCTACTTTCATAATGGTCCCAGTAGCCATAGCTGATTGAAGCATCCAGATGAGTTATCCATCCAATGAGTCTCAATGCACCCAATACCCAATGTTTCAAACCCTACCTTGCTTCAACTTTTTCCTTTTGCAAGGCTCTTGGTGTAATAGATCATCGCCACCACGCTTATTCAAACTGATGCAACAATAGCAACGCCGATTCAGTGGCCAAATATCAGTGTGATGATCAGAACGCCCGAAGGGGGCATACGCTTGTTGGGCTACAAGGAGGGCAGCAACGGATGTCGGAAACCCACCAATCTTTCGACTAGCCTCTTGGCTGACGATTGCGAGTTTAAAGTCCTCATGCAAACTGCTAACTGTAAATGAAACCCTTTTGCGGTAGTAACCACAAATATGACAGCCATCATGCTTATCCACAGGGCCAATATCTTCGCTTTTCCGGATCACGAATCGTGAGCGTGGAAACTCCGTCCTCAGAAGCGAGAGAACGCCATTAGGATTAGGTTTACAACACATAATTGATCCAATACAGTTGAACCGACCATTCGAGAATACCGGTTCTTGATCGAATTCAAAAAAAAATGAGGTCGCCAATAGAGCCAACGAGAGCTCCGGTGGAATGTGACATTCCATATCAGAAAGCTCCTCCATTCGTTCCGTGTCGTCCAGGTCAGGAAGGGTTCCATCAAAGGCACAATCGAGGCGAAAAACATCTTCTTTTAAGTCTGGTGGAAGATTATCTAATGCATCTTCGAAACCACGGTATCCGTCTACTGCGGGCGAGGAAAGAAAAGTGCGAATTCCGCGTCCCACAAAGTTATTATTAAAAATGGTTTGTCTCTGCTCTTGCCCGCGTTCAGGACTGGACTTTTCAAACCCTGTGCCAATACTTATCACAAGATCCGGTCGCCTGGCACCAGGCCAGATGTTCATGCTTTCTCGGATGGCAGTTCTCAAGGGGCAGTTTGCTTGAATTCCTCCGTCCTGAAATGTTCCAATACCAGGTAGATATTCTGGTTTGAAGTATCTTGAAGAGCCTTTTCGTTAGCAGTCAGACCAACAACATGAGGCTGGGCGTGCACATACCCTAAAGCCGCAATACAGCATCTAGCACTGAAGTAGTCAATGTTAGTAGGAGACTTCGTCCCGGATATGGGTATTATTTAGGCCTAAGGATAATACAGCTACTCACACCTTCCACACCAAAGGCTCGTCGGCCAACTTGGTTGGCATCACTGACGTGTAAGAGGTTTGCTCATTAGGCCTGCGAAGGCGCCTATAGTTCGAGAACAAGGACAATTTGCCGTCATTTTCTATGTGGCTAGCTGTCAAAGCTATTCGACCACCTGGTGTCGGTAAAGGTGTGTCGTAAAAACGACGGGTGCTACCAAACGCCCGTTGGAGAGCCGTGTCTAGCGATGAGGAGTCATAAGCAGCGTCTGCCAAAACGTGTCGCATTAAATTCCACAAGAGACTCATAGGGCCTTTGTGCCGTGCTTTAGAAGGAAAGATTTCACGAGCAAGTGGTTTGAATTTCTCCAACGCTTCTGAAGCACTAGAGCCTTGAACAAAGGTTTCAAGGAGTATCAATCCGCCTACGAGAGTTATTAACCTTGGTTCGATATGGATTTCGGTCAGGACTTAGGATTATTTTACCAACACTTGTACCCATTGAAAAATGAACATCGTTCCGTAATGGCCTCCATTGTCGTATCTTCTCCAGCTTGCACATGAATGCGAGAATGCGAACACCCCGAACTCCGCCTCCATCTAGAACCAAGAGATCAGGGCCTTTCGTGGGAGGTAAGCAACGTACGATATGCTTGAACCTTTTGGGACAAAGTATGCAAAATGATAATTCGAAATGATACTCTGCCTCGCCCGCGCGTTTGCCCCATATGCGCACGCAATTTTCACAGATAGCGTGGCCGCAAGGCAGAATTTCATCGGTCCCCCGCAGAAGACAGCTTAGACAAGTAGTATTCGATTTGAGGTATTTCCACCCAAATTGCCGTCTTGCAACACTACACCTTCGGACCATTGCAGTTTTGGATTCATTTGTAAGTTTTCTGAACATCAGGCAAAAATGGACTTCAATAGCGCAGAGACCATGCTCAGCATCGGCTGCAGATATTTCTTTCCATGCCGCGAGACATATTTTAGCATAGTGAGTTTGGAACATTAAGAGGGGGTCAAATCCTGACCGGCTTTGTTAGTTGAAAATCAAGCATTATGCCACGCCTTTATAATTTGGCGAGATTACTGGGCTCACCTACTATGCATGCCAGGCGGATATGCATCCATAATCAATGCAGAGGAGATATACATTGCTATAGCAGGTATGGACTCACCCGCATCTATCGCCGAGGCAATAAACTCTTGAAGATAAATTGAAGCGTTAAGAGGAACTTTGCAGTGGTCTTTGGCAGCTTGAATAGCATTGAAAGAAATCTCTCCTTGATATGCCATATGTTCTGTGGCTTTACTAAAAAGTGCTTCTAGGTGTGTCGCGGAAAATAAAATGTGTTCATCCTCGCGACTGCGTCGTGCCTTTTGAATATCGTGTGATAGTTGAGAACGGAGTGGCTCAAATTTCGCTTCTCGGGACAGGGCGTGCCGACTACGCAGATCGACAATAGCCAAGGAAGACGCTATGGAAGAACCCAAAGATGTGGATAAAGTATCGTAGAGAACTTCCGAGGCCGGATATTCTACCTCGGGGTTGGTCAGCACCAAAACTACCTGGGGAGTCAAGCCGAGGCGCGGTCTTCCATCTTTCAGCTCTCCCAGCCAAGATAGCAATATTTCTTGAATCTTTCCAAGCCCACCAATATCATCCGGAAATAGATAAACAACATGTGCGAAAGGCAAAATCAAGTGGCTATATATAGTATTTCTAATTTCGTCGAATGACTGATAATTCTTACGACGGATCTCAAAACTAGTCCTCTGGTTCTCATAACGCATGCTGCTCCCACCAAGTTCCTTTTCTTTTGATTCATCGCTGGCTCCATCCACAATTAGAATAGGATGAGGGGTATTGGCAGTATTAGTGCTTATGTGAAGCTTGGCAAAGCATGGTGCACAGCTGCGGCGTGTATTGTTGAATGGAAAAAGGGCACGTAATGCTTGAGACTTTGATTGCCCTCCAATAAAACATATCAATGATGGAAACTGACAAAGCGGGTCCTCCATGTCAATGAGGATCTTTCGAAAGCGACTATCCACTCCGAGGACCCAACCATCGGTGTTTCTGCTAAGATGTAGCCATTGAGCCATAATTGATCCCTGAGTCACAATGCGATTCAAGAATTAAAAGACTAGCAGAACGGGATAAATGCATATTTATATCCATTGAATGGATTTTATCGCTGTTCATAAGAGAATTTAATTAGCTTTAAAGGCATGGTCTCCCAAGATTAGGAGACTGCACTAAGATCCCCCTTCTGAAAAGGCATGCTTTTAATTTGTCATAAGATTGCAAATGTCAAAACCCTACTGAAGTATTGCTTAATTAACCCAGCAGATAATTTCCGATGCCTCCGACTAATTCAATATGTGTCCCTACCATATGCTAGCCCATACGTTTGTATGCGAAAGTGAGAGACAGTCTGCATGAATGCTGCAGTCAATCGAACCACGGCCCTTTGCGTACTACTATGATGAAGTCTGAAAATACTTGACTCCAAGCGTTACGAAGACCCCTGTCATTGTCTTATGGTCCACATATATTATCACTTGTTGGAGGCGTATATCGAAAAATATTGGAGGACCCTGGGCACTCGCGAAAATTGACGGCGCAAAATATAATATACAAAGGCATAAAAATAAAATCGAGTTGGGAAAGACAATAACAAATGAAATTTCTAGCCATGTCATTCCCATTCAACTACTTTCTTGATCGCCTTTCTATAACTTTTAGGCTGAATACTGCCTACCTGTCCCTCAAAATACTGACAAAAGCTCTTGCGGATGCGGCTCTAGGAGGCCCCGGTGCCTACAAACAACTTCTATTGCTATTTAGACTCGCATATCTGCAACCGTATGCCCTTACGAAGCCGAAGGTCTTAGCGTAGGTGCATAACCAATTATGGCCCGTGCGTAGCTGTGTCAGCAGGTACGCCCTGCCCCTGGGCAAGTTCCCATACAGCTTCCTGGTGTAGGCCGCCGGTAGAGTGTTATCGATCTTTCGCAGGTGATCGCCTTTGGTAGATGTTGTTCATTCCCGCTCCCACTGAGCGGTACTGGTTTTCTTTGGGAGTTATGTTCAAGGTCTGTTCAAGGTTCAGAACTTCGTACCCCTAAGCGCCAGCTGACGTTAACCTGGCGGATTTTGCTGCTGCACGTAAGCTGGACAAGTCTATGGTTACACTGATGGATCTGATGCTGCAAATAGCCATGTCAATTCCAATGGTGGAATGTGCAGAGGAGCCCCGCTCGTTCAACTTCTTCCCTGCTTAATAATAACTACTGAGCGAACAGGGGCCTTCGTCCTTCCTATGTGTTATTCCGTTCGCATATTTGGACTCATGTTGGCTAACCAGCTAGTGCTCAACTAATCAGAATGTTGACCACACTAACAGCGCTACATGGGCATGAGCAGTTAGGAAATGCTAGCTGCTACCTTGCTGGCACAGACCATGAACTTTATATCACAGAACTGGTGAGTTTTAGCGTTAACCTAGTTCAGGTCGCCGAAGGCAGGGCTGCGGTGTGCTGGTAAGGGAGGTAGGAAACTTGTGCCACCCGTTTCCGTGCGTCGCATATCGCATTTCTGTCACCTATATTGGACTGTTAATAAAAGCAATTATCCAGCGCTATTATAAACTGCCAGAAAACCGTCAGTCTATGATCGTTACGAAGACCTTTTCTGTCCATCGTGAAGCAATCTCGCAAAGTCAAAAATACACGAGATGGCCCAGCGTAACGGTATGGCATTAGGAAGTGGTAGGTAAATGCTACAAGTCTCAGGCTGGCTGACGCAATTACCTAGGAACGGATCTAAAGCAATTTGACGAACAGAAACAAGCCGTGAATATTGGTCAAGACGATATTGGTCAAGACGATATTGATGCTGATGAAGACTCCACATGGGATCAAATGAAATACTCTGAGGAAACTGAAGACCAAATAGACATATGGGAATATATATGGGACCTGAGAGATAGGACCAACAGGACATGCTCATTATGTTCATCAAGCTCGGATGTGTTTTTGAGGAAAGAAGAGGATCCAAGAGATTTGGGAGAGCATATGTCAAAGAAGAATTCTGATGGTAAGTCCATTATATACTTGACACAAATTTGGATTAAACTGAATCTGCTTGGTCGAGACTGACAAATCATTGCAGTTAGAGCGGAATTAAGGCTTGATGGTCTTCCTTGGCTTTTGAAGCAACTACAGATACAGCGTGGTGGGCAAAATGGCGATTCAGACTCTGAAGAAACAGTGGCATTAGGAACGAGCGAGGTTTACATGCCTCAACAGGGTTCATTGGGGGGAGAAGTTCTAACCGATCTAAAGAGTCCGCGTCAGGTGTGAAAGACCTAAGAAGTGACGAATGAATTGACAATTTCCCTTTGTAGTAGCATAATATATTTACTCTATCAAGAACTTCGATGTGATGGAAAAACGAAAGGATAGGGACCTCGAGAAGGGAAGCAGGAATATAATATGATATGACTAAGATACTCATCCTTGTCAGGTGGCCCGACCCCATCATAATAGCGCATTACATGAACATGGAATACCGCAACTGTATTTGACATTTCAGCAAACTGACCCTTCCCTTTAAGGACGTGGCACATGATATAGGGGTCGGCACGAATATATATTTGTAATATTATGAGATATTCACATTCGCATGTTGAGTATCACGGTGGTCAAAGCATATGGCGGAGACTACCAAGAGATATGTAAATAGATGAGTCCCACTTCCGAAAAATATTATAATTTAGCCCAATACAACCAATCGCGCGATTACGATATTCATTTATCATATTCGCTTTCATTATTCCTTTCGGAGCCTTACCGCCTAGTACTGTAAAAGTGATATGTAGAGCTTGACGCATCAGTTCAGTTATGCTAGAAGCCTTATGTGATCCCCTGCTCAAGAACAACCACACTAATCTTAACAATATATGATTTTGATGCCTAAGCAACAAAGTCTAGCATTAGTCACGCGCTTACATCCAAACGGTACCTAGTCAAAAAGGCTACCTGAAACCTGGACG